TAGGTCCATGAGAAAAAGGCAACAGAAATAGACCCTCAGATGACTTTAAAATAACTGTAATTAATATGTTCCCCAAAAACAACAAAAAGCAGAATTTTATCAGAGATTGTAAATCTATTTTTTTAAAAAGTAAAGCAAATAGAAATTCTAGAATTTTTTTAAAAATTCAATAACTGAAATTCTGAACTCAAATAGGTTAAAGGCAAACTTGACACAATAAAGAGAGAATCAGTGAACTGAAAGATCAATAGGAAAAACTCCAGCTGCAGCATAGAGAATTTTTAAAAGTTTTAAAAACAGAAAAAAGGACAAGAGCCATATAGGATAGTAATACACGTAATTGAAACCCCAGAAAGGAAGAAAGATAAGATAGAGAGAATATTATTTGAAGAGACAATAGCTAAGAAATTTCCAAAACTGACAAAGGACCATCAAACCTCAAACCTGAACTCCAAAAAGAAAGAAAATCTATAAGAACAGCTTAGTAAAACTGCTAAAAACCAAAACCAAAACCAAAGAAAAACAAAACAAAAAACCACAAAGATAGAAAATCTGAAAAGCAGACAGAGGAAAAGAGAAGTAATTAAAGGAATGGCAGCAATATCAACGGCTGACTTCTCAAGAGAAAACTCAAAGGAGAATACAAAGATGCAAAGATCTCTCCAAAGAGCTGGAAGAAATGATTGCTGTAGTTTTCAAAAATGAAGATGAAATAAAAATATTTCCATACAATTAAAAACTATGTTTATCAGTAAGGCTACATAAAAATACTAGGTAAAAACATTCTTTAGTCAGAAGGAAAGTGATCTCAAAGCTATAAATCATTAAAAGTACAAAAAATTTGAACATAACTGATCAACTTAACCTAATTGACCAATATAGAACACTACATCCACTGACAGAATACACATTCTTTTTAAGTGTACATGGACAGTTTACAAAAGTAGATCATATACTGGGACATAAATCAAGTTTCAAACATTCTGATCATAGCAGAATTAAACTGACAATCAATTTTTTAAAAAGTAACTAGAAAATTTCTAAATGTTTGGAAATTAAGCAATACACTTTGAAATAACCCATGAGTCAAAGAAGAAATCAGAATGAAAATTGTAATAAAAATACAATATATCAAAACTTGTAGGGTACAGCTAAAGCTGTGAGAAATTTATAGTTTTAAATGCATATATCAGAAGAGAAATAAAACCGAAAGTGGTATTTCAATGCTCTTAGGGTAAAATTAAAATCCCTAGTATGGTTACAAAGTCCTGCATGGTCTGGCTCATCTATGGAGCTTCATTGTTGTGTCTCTCTTCTCATTCATTACTCTTGAGCCTATTGGCTCCTTTCAATTACTTGAATGCATCAAATTACTTCTCATCTCAGGACCTTTGCACATACAAATTCTTCTGTTTGAAATGCTCTTTCCCCTTCCTTTCTCTAGGCAACTGCTCACCCTGTAGGAGTCAGTGTAAGTGTCAGTTCCTTAGAGAAGCCTTCCTCAAAGTTCAAGCCTTGATCATAGTCCTCTGACATATATTTTTAATTCAAACGTTCTTTTATGGCACACATTGCCATATTCAATAACTGTTTGGGTAATTGCTTGTGCAATTAATTTTAAAATATTGTTTGTCATTCCCTAAATGTTATAAGTTCCTTGTTGGCAGGGTCTGCAAGCTGTCTTGTTCAACATTGTATCCCTAGGGCCTAGCATGGTACCTGGCAAGTAGCAGGCATTCTATAAATGTGTTTAGTTAAATGACTGAATGAACACATGGATATCTAGTTTACCATCTGAGTAAACGCTCAGTTGACTCAAAGCTGTTAAAAGATGCTCCACTGGAAGAAAACTCCTCAGTATTAAGCATTGTTAGCAGTTGGTGCTTTTTTCTATGGCATTTATGATGCAATTTACAATATCTGCTAATCCAAGAAATCGCCCAAATATTTTTTCCTTTGATGTTTAAGTAAAATAATTTCTAACTGTGTACTGTTTCCTGTTTATTCAGGGAAAAGACAAAGGATTTTTGTAAACTTAACGTATGTATCAAATCTGTTCTACTCTATACTAAGGTGCTGTAAAAGTGATTCAATTGATTACCATTATTAACAACAGTCCCTTAGTCCATTTCAGGCTGCTACAATAGAGTACTGTAGACTGGGGAGTTTATAAATAATAGACGTTTGTTCCTCACAGTTCTGAAGGCTGGGATGTCTAAGACCAAGGTACTGGCAGATTTGATGTGTGGTGAGGACCCACTTCCTGGTTTAAAGACAGTGTCTTCTTTCTGTCCTAAACACAGTGTAAGGGGCAAGGGAGCTAGCTCTCTGGGGTCCCTTTTATGAGGGCACTAATCCCATTCATGAGGGCTCCACCTTCACGATCTATTCACCTCCCAAAGGCGCATCTCCTGCTACCATCATGACAGGGGTTAGTTTTCAAAATGGGAATTCTGGAAGGTCACAAACAGCCTGTAGCACACAGTCTCACTAATTCCAACAACAAATGTTGATGTCCTAAGTCTACTTTCTATGTGGAAGCTCATTTAATCCTCACTCAAAGCACTGAAGAAGGTGTCATGTCTGTTTTTCAGGTGAGGAAACTGAGGCTGCAGGAGTGAAGCGACTTTCCAAGAGCATGGAGCCCGTAAGTGGAAGGGCTGAGGTCAGAGTCCTGGTATGTCTCAAAGCCTCTGCAGGCTCTGACAGCTCCACCCTGCCACCCATCTTACATCTAGAGAGGACTTTTTTTTTTTTTTTAGTTGGAGTTTCACTCGGTCGCCCAGACTGGAGTGCAGTGGCTGCTCCCGGCCACCGCAGCCTCGACCTGCTGGGCTCCGGTGACCCTTCCGCCTCAGCCTTCCGAGTAGCCGGAATTACAGGCCTGTGCTACCACTCCCGGCTGGTTTTTTAATTTATTGTAGAGCTGAGGTCTCGCTGCCCAGGCGGGTCTCGAACCCGCAGGCTCAGGCAATCCACTCACCTCAGCCTCCCAAAGGCGCGGGATTACAGGCTGAGCCACCGAGCCCAGCTTAGAGAGAACTTTTAAGAAACATCAGTGATGTGAGGACAAACAAGGGAAGAATAACCACAGCTCTGCCACAGAACCAGCTGTGACCGTAAAATGGAATTACAACAGTACACAACAGAATAGAGTTAAAGTGCTTTGCAGGGTACTTGTCATTTAGCAATGTGCTTATTAAGTACCAGGAATTATTATCAAGGGATGCTGTAAATAAACAAAAAACCCTTATACTTCACTCAATTTAAAAATATATTCATATCCATTCCACCTTGCCTTCAGAGAGTATGAAGATGAAAAAGGCTCTGACATGAAAGTCAAAGTCACAAGGGCAGGGATCCCCACTCTCAGGGCAGTAGGCCCCTGGCAGGGGACAAAGTGTGATGGTCACTGACAGTAAAGCTCTCTGGTTTTCCCCCCAGATCGAGAGGGAGGGGCTGTGGGCCCTTGTAGAAGTTGCTCATGTGATGGGAGGGGCAGCAACTGGGTTCTGCCCATCTCTAGGATCACTGCTGCGACTGTCACTCAGCAGCCTCTTTGATGTGATTGTCCTGTAGGCTCCCTCAGCAAATCATTGATTTGTGCTTCTGAGTATTTCTCAGCCTGGATAACTAGGCCGTACGGGGGGAACCCTTTAAAAACGGGCTGAGAGCTGCCCATCAGTGAGGGCAGAGGAACTCCTGCCCCGCAAGGCAGCTGGAGCACCCTTGGATGCATGCAGCTGGAGCACTTTGGATGCATGCAGCACAAAGGTGCTCACTCACACTCAGGCTTGCAGTTCTCAGCATCATCAGGGTTGCTGCTTCCACCTCAACACCTGTTCTTATCTCCAACCACCTGCTGGAAAGTTATTTTCCTCTGAGGTTCCTATTACTGCATTTCAAAATAATTGTTTTTCTCTTCCCCAAGTCCATTCTTATATGGTTCTGCCACAATCTGTAGTAACCCCACCAGCTTTAGGTATTCCTTGTTCAAGAATAAAATCCCTACATGGCTCACTGTACTATTCCATACCCTTGGGTCGTTCTGACTGTACATCAGTCCCCACTGCCCTCCCGCTCTTCACAGTTCTCTGCACAACCATTTTCACAGGTATTTTGTCATCTCCAAGTTATCTAAAACGTTCCCTGACATTTCTTCCCATGGGGCCAGATCCAGCCACTTACCATTCTGTACTGTGATGGATTTGCCTGGTGAATTACTGACTCACTGTCAGAAGGGAGGGACCCGCCAAGGGAGTTGGTGGGAGCCTCCTTGGCTAACTTATGAAGGTCTCCACAGAGACCATCTGCACACAAGCCCACAAGGTCTGTCTTTCCTCTCCCAGGGATCTCCTTCTGATCCTCCAGGGACCTGCACCTCAACTAAACAGAGCTACACTAAATGGACACACTTGCTGTTCCCTTGACATCTAGGTTAAGAGTCTTCAATGAACAGCACAGGTGCATGACAGAAAAGGGACTGGCACTTAGAACTGTGTGGCCCAAGCAAGCCATCAGCTTTCTGTACCTCAGTTCCTCTAGGAGTAAAGTGTGAGCACCACGAGCATCAGTATGCAAGAGGTGCACTGCCTGTACTAGGCACAGCAGGAATCGAGGAGAACATGCTACCCTGAAAACCCTTCCACAAATGGATGGGGGCGGCAGCAGCACCCTGCCTTAACTCTTTCTGGGGCCTGAGCCAGACAATGAAAATGCAGCTCTTGCTCGCTAGACACCAGGCCCTGAAAACAACTCTAGGCGCCTGCCTCAGCCCCACTCCAATCTGCAAGGAGCTAGCGAAGAAGTGAGTGCTGATTTGGCCAATTATAAGTGACCAGTGGCCACCTCAGATCCAAGTGGGAGAACTGAGGAACAGATGGTTGTCTGTGTTATTAGAGAGATTTGAAATTAGGCAGACGATGGCAGGTTTCAAGCCACAGGTGGGAATTTGTACAAACATAGGCCAAGTTTAGAAAGAATAGTAAACACATTCTTACTTTATTGTGCTCTCCATCTTCGAAGCTGCCTCATGGAATTGCTGTGAAGACAGTTTATACATCTCAGCATTCTATAAGGAGAAAAACAGATGGGTTACCAAAGAATGAAATTTCCCTCTACTTCCTCACAGGATGCAACTATCTTAGAAATTGACAGATGCTAATTTCTTGACTGGTCTCAAAGCAGACAGGTGGTTAATCCACAGCTTGGGTTCCAGCTCCCAACGTGGATGGCCACTGCCACAGAATTCTAGAGTAGCAACAGCTGGAAGAATGTTGTGAGATCCTCTAGTCCAGGAGTTGGCAAACCACAGCCCACAGGCCAAATCTGATCTGCCCCTTGTTTTTCTAAATACAGTTTTACTGAGACACAGCCATGCTCATATGTCTACGTATTGTCCATGGCTGCTTTTGTGCTACAGTGGCAAAACTGAGTTGTGACAGGCTGCATGGCCTACGAAGTCGAAAGCATTTGCTCCCTTTAAAGAAAAAATGTGCTGAGTCTTGATCTGGTCTAACCCCTACTTTACAGGTGAATTTCACTGCCTGGCGAGAGGAAGTGACTTGCCCAAAGTCACACGGGAGAGGGCAGCGTCAGGATTACAACCCAGATACCTGGATTCCCGGTCTAGGACACATTCTCACACTGCTGCCTACCATATCCACCCTGCTCCTCAGAATCCTCTGTCCAGAGTGCTGCAGGGAGGCACCAAAGGCACACACGTCCTTCTTCCTGAGACCACTTACCACATGTACTCTTGCAGAGCCAGGTTGGTGTAGGTAGAGCCAGGCCTGGAAACCAGACAGTGCTGTGTTTAACTTGGTGCCACCACAGTGTGACTCTGGTTAAGCTACTCAAGCTCTTTGTGCCTCAGAGGCATGCTGTGCCAGGTCCACGGACCGAGGCCCAGCATTCTCCTTTCTCTATGAGCCTGCACTTGTACCAAGGAGACCTCAGTGCCCCAGGTGGACAGACATGTAAGTGGCAGGAGAAGACCAGCCTTGGAGTTGACTCTTGCAGGAAGCGGTTTTAGGATAAAACAACCTTAGACAGGGTTGGGCTAAGTGGTCCCTGTGTGGGGCAGAGGTTGTGGAGTGGTCTGACCTCCCACGGAGGGTGAGAAAGACAATGGGTGATGCCATGTGGAGTCTGCTTAAAGTCAGACCCTCTGCAGGCTGGACCCCAAGTGTCCCTCAAGGTCTCACAGGGTGGGGTGATTATCCCTGCTCCAAGGATGAGCAAATGGGAATGCAGGCCTCAGGTGCCTACCGCTGGCACATATCAGAAGCCCCTGCAACCAGCAAGCATGGCAGGGAAGGGTCTGTGAAGTCATAGGGCTGCGCTCCCTTACACATTTGTTGGTCTTGAACCTGACTCTCTCTATCTGTTAGGCACACCGATAGCCCAGTCAGAATGAAAGGAGCGAGTAGTCCTCAGGCAGGCAGAAAGGGAGGAGGGCTCTAAAGCAGAGCCACGCAGGGAAAGTGGTCCACACATACACAGAGTCAGCAGCCTTCTGCAGGGAAGACAACTAGGCGGGGGTGGAGTACTTCTCTCAAGGCAGGCCTGGACTGAAGCCAGACCCCCCTAGCCCCACCTAGGGGTCTACCCCCAGCACCGTGGCTCAGAGAAGTGGCAAGTGGGAGGCAAATGTGGAAGATGAGTCCCTGAGAGAGAACAATTGGCGCACACTATAAGGAAGGACCGCAAGGTGTGGGGATTCTGCCCTGGCGCAAAGTGGGTGAGGAGGCCTGGGATCCACTAAGGTCTTTTACTCTCCATTGCTGAGTGAGTTGGTCAAGTCACCCCACCACACATCACCTCAGTTTCCTCGCCTCTGAACCAGGGAGACAATGATGTCTCCCTCAGTAGGTATCAAGAATGCCAGCTAGGAAGTACCGACGCTCCCAGCACACAGAGGCATGAAATAAATACAGGTTCTCTTCCCACCCACAGACAGGGCTGTACTGGCCACTGCAGGTCTGTGCAGATTCTAAACTGCTCAGCAAGAGGGCTCCAGTTTTATCTCTAAGAGCCCTCATGTTCAGACCAGAAGACTATGATTTGGCCTCAACAGTCTGACATTCAGCACCACCGACTGTCCTGGGAGAGGAGGTAAGGATACAGAGATGAGTCAGTTAGAGTCTCCCCTCTAATGCCATGCAGACACTTTGCAGCATCCTTGATGGGAATTATTTAGCTCTGTCCTGAGCCTTCCAGCCATGGGACCTCACTAGGAGACGGCATGGTCCACAGATGCACATTTTAATTTTTGCTTTGGCACATACTGGCTATGTTCTTTGGATAAGTAACTTACTTCCTCTGAGTCTTGCTTTCTTACTAGGAAGACAGAGTATCAACCTTGCAGGGTGGCTGAGAGATAGCCTGGCACACAGTACCTATGCAGTTCACCATGGCCACTATTAGTGAGTCACTGAATTTTCCAAAGCTAAAATGAGCCTTGTTCTAAGTTTCCCTTGTTCATCCAGGTCTGTTTCCTTTCCCACCAAACAACCTTATGGCTCAGGCCTTCTCTTTGGGCCAAACCTCTTTTGCTGCAGCTGTGCCTAAGGGGCTCCTGAGTGTCAGACTACTGACTTGCAGGCCCAGTCACCTGTCGATGTTCCTCTCAAAGAGAATGCCCATGTCCCAGATAGAGCCTAGCCTGCTGTGGGCTGACAGGAGACGTTTAGAGCCTTGGCTCTAGATGATGTACTGCCAGGAACACAGTCTGACCCCAGTGAACTTGGTGAGCACTTGAGTTTGACTGCAAGCTCAGTCTGAACATGTGGTCAACTAGATTTATCACAGGAAGTAACACAGGCCAAGAAGTGGTGGTGATTACCCCGCTGTAGCTTCCTCTATTGTTTCTCAGAATGACTCAGACAAATTCCCCATCCTGTCGTGTCCTGCCCACCCACCCTCCTCATCTAATCTGCCTGAGCAGACCCGCAGGGACGGATGTCCTCACAACCACAGTGCCCCTGGCACATGAAGGTCTCCAGTCTGCCGACTGGGAGAACTGAGCCAGCTTCCTGTGTTCACGACCCTCTCATCCCCCAGGCTTTCTTGAGGCTGCTTTCCAGACTCCCTCTTCGGGAAGAGTAGGGTACTCTATGGACTCCTAGGCCAACCACCATCTCATGGCTTCTAGAAGGGCTGGGCACTACCAACATTCACACTGAGAACCCACCAAGTGCCAAGGAATTCTGAGATAAATGCAGCCTGTTCCCTGGCCTCATGGCGCTCTCAGACAGCACATCACCACAATTACCACGAACACCTGGCTAGTTGTCCCAGGTGCTATGGGGGCTCCTGAAAGGACAGCCTGGCAGAAACTGGAGGTCGGACTAGCTTCTTGGGAGCTGATACCTGAGCCAAGAGGCCTAATCATTTTTTATTTAAATATTAAGCAATGTTTTCAAAAGAAGTAATAATCCCATAATGTTTAAGAAAACAAAACAGAAAGGATAATGTTAGGTGAACAGAGTGCCTCTGAGCCAGCCTGGACCCTGCCCTCTGCATTCGCCTCGAGTGATCTCTGTGGGCAAGGCACTGCACATGTGAGCAACATGTGAGTGAGTGCTCACGTGTGTGTGCCCACCTTGTTCCTGATGCTCACCCAGCACCACAAGACGCGTGTGCCGCACCTCATCTTTGTATGGAGGTCTCAGAGACCTTGTCCGTTTTCCTGCTGAACGGCCTTCAGTAGTGTGAACGAACACCCTGTGCCTCACTTAAGCCCTTCCCCACCCCTGAACAGTAGACTGCTTATAGTCTTCCCTATTGTAAACGATGTTGAGAGGAACATCTTGGCACCAAGAACTTTGTGCATGAGTGAGTATATCTGCAGGGAATTTTCTAGAAGTCAAATGACTGGGTCAAAGGTTGTATCCATTCTTAATGAATTTTAAAGGATAAGTAGCAATGAGCCAAATAAGAAGGAAGTCTCATGAGCCTAGGACACCAACAGGGGAAGAGATGCCACTGAGGCTATAGAAGCACCAAAGCAATGGCAGGGAAGAGGCTGGAGAGAGAACACAGAAGGATGCAAAGGACTTCTGCTGCAGGGGCTAGGGTGTGGAGGACTGCAATGGGGAAGGGGAGGAATGGGGGGAGGGAGACGGGGACCCCAGATATGGGGGTGGGGGAGGCACAGAGTAGGATCCTGGCCATGAGGAGACAAGGCGGCCCTCAAACTCAGGCTCCAAAGCCTGGACTTCACCTTGGGGGCAACCTGGGTGAACAAAGGCTTTCCTTTTTAAGCAAAGGAGTGGCAGTGTAGATTTGTGCTTTTAAAGCAACATTCTGGCAGCAATGTGGACAACAGAGTCCAGCTCTCCCCAGTGAAGCTGTCAGGCCTCGGAGAGCCCTGGAACCCTGCAGCACAGTGCCTGGGAAGGAGCTCATCACCCACTCACAAGACACTGGAAGTCTCTGCACTGCACTAAATTCCTACACATCAATTAGCACCCAGTGACCATCAACTACTATTTCTGGGTAAAGTTCTTTCCCGTCAGCCTCTTCGGTTTCCCAGTTTTGAAAAGTCTTTTCTTCTGCCCTATAAACAGTCACCCCTCCTCCTTCTCCAGCTGCTCCACATCTGAAAGAAGAAGACCTGATCTCCATTAATTAAATCTGCCATTAAAAATTAAATAACATGAGAAAGAAGGTGTGAGTGTTATCTCTATGGGTTTCAAAAGTCACAGTGTTTTTTCAATTATTTCCTGAGTAGTTTTCATATTTCATTCTGTCTGATTTCTCCAAGGGCCTGGATTTGTGAGATCAAGAGTGAGGGTGAGGGTGAGGAAGTGTGACGGGAAGGCTGGGAAGGGGAGGATGGCAAAACGTGCCAGTGCACAAGAGACTGTCTGGCTGGCTGCCCCTGTCTCAGATCCAGGGTGCAGAGTGGATGGGGGACACAGGGGTTCAGAGTTCTGACCACACCCTCAAAGCGTGGAGCAGAGTGGGCCTGTGCACCAAGGCGTATGCAACTGTGGATGTGAAGGTAACAGGGTCTAATCTATTGATCTGGGGGAGGGTCACTTTTGGCTGGAGCAGTCATTAATG